GGAACCGAAGGTAATCTGTCGCGTGTAAGTCAAATGTCCTTTGCGCATTTTAAGACGGGGCAGCAAGGGTATGATGATTGGGTAACGAGACTCTCAATGCCTGCTAAGAAGTGATTTGCCATACCTTCACGTTTGCTGAACTGTACGCCTATGTAGCGAATGTTCAGTGTGCCTGACGGTGGTCCGTCAGAAGTCGATGGGCCCCCTTGAGAACCAGAACGCACACGAGGACGCATTCGTTGTGCCAGGTTAAATCGCGAGCGGGAACTGCTGTTATCGGGAGCGCTGCTGCGTCGGCTTCCGCGAACTGTTAAGCGGACTTGGCGGTGTCGATCGTCGCGGTTACGCAGTTCGCCCTCAAAATTGTGAATTTCGTATTCTCGATATTGACGACCGCTCGCACGGTTGGCAAGAATGGTCAGTGAGTGATACGTCGAGTATCGGTCCCTCCAAAGCTTTAGCCTCTGTACCAATCCCATGCCCCTGATATTACCAAAGCCGTCCGTTCTTCCATGCTGGTCGGACCAGACGACATCCACATCGTAGTAATCAACCAAGTCTTTCCGACGGATATCTCCCTGGAAGCGTATGGAGCTCTCCACGGTGGTGAACTCGTACTTGACCTCGGTAAGGTGGTCATGAAGAACCACACCTTCGCCGGTAGTGTATCTGACTCTGTGTGGTTCGCGAAAGCTGACAAAAAGCTCGAGTTCGCAAGGATCCGTGTACGGACGATGACGGGCGTGTAAGGTATGAGGAAAGATATCGGCGGGCACGTCGGACGGAACTTAATTGTAGTCAGCATGATGTCTTCGGCTCGGATGATAAATGCGAGGGATGATGTACGAAAGTGTTCAAGAAGCTCGCTCTGGTAGCTGCATTGCCATAGTACGCGGCGCTGCTCGGAGCCGACAACCTCCCAAGGGCCAAGATAAACGGTGCGCTCGTTGGGACTGTTCTCAAAGAGGGTTCTGGAGGATCAACAAGGGTCAGAAAGGGGTAGAGACTACTTGCAAAACGTATGGCTATGGAAGTTTGGAAAGAGGGGCATCGCATGGGGTAGTGAAAGAATGGTACATTGTTGCTTGATAACCTGGAGGTCCAAGGTCCAGAGGATGAAGAGAGGCGTGCGGTGCTGAGGCCTCGGAGGTGAGAGCCGATATGGACGACGCAACTGACGTTGGTGTCCAGGTCGAGTCAATGGGGCTCGCGTATGGCTGGCCGTAGGAAGGGGGTCGGCCGAGGGAGGACGAAGTAAAAGACGAGCCGGAGGAAGACGAGGCGGCCATGCTTGGAAGGCCTTGGCCTAGTTCTTGTCTCGGAGCCTTGTCAACAAATCAATGAAAGCCTGCGGGGAGTTGAGATGGCAATCATGGCATGGTGTTGGAGATTTGGGTATATGGCCGATTCGTCTGGTGGTTCGGAATCGTGTGGTCGTCAGGAGGGTAAGCGCGCTTAGATCTCGGGACGGATGCATTCAAACGACGGGAGGATGCGACGGCAATAAGGTATACGGATGCCAATTCCTCGCTCGAGGTAGCGATGGTGCTGGAGCTTTGCACGGGGCGACAGGTGCTCTACCTAGCATCAACCTAATGTTGGGAAAAGGGCGATAAGGCGGATGAATGTATCGCAGACGGAGGAGTAACCAAGGGCGCCGAGGCAAAAGACGGCCGGCAGGGTGCAAGCTTGGTATTTCTGAGATAGTAGGGATAGTGGCACCTAAGGTAAGGTAAGGTCAGGTCGGGTCGGGTACCGTTGGAGAAACCAAACAGCCAAGCCGTCAGCAAAGGAGGTGCCAATGCCAGTGGCGGGGCCGGGGCCGGTGGAGGTTGTGAACTGGCACAAGACTGGCACAAGACTAGCACGGCGCCGTGTTAAAGCGAGGCTTGATGTTGGAGAGGAGTTAACTACCTTGGGTAATTGAGTTGGTATGGTTGAGGTAGACAAATACGCGGCTTTCCGAAAGTCAAGCGAGGATGGGGGACGATTTGACGGATGGAGCGGGGTCGCAATATGTTGGTGGTGAAGGGCCGGGTGCGGAGTCAGATGGCAGAAGAGGGGGGGTCTGTTGGCGAATGGACTTTGGTTGATGAACAAGCAAACAAGGCGGAAGGACGTTCGGAACAGTACCTTACCTTACCTTACCTTACCTTAATATGACGGGAGGTCCAGGAGGTAAGGTAGGAAATGATTGATGCAGCGACCGGATACTCAGGTACGCAGTAAGGTAGTGAGTGGTGGGCAACGGGAATACCACTGGGCCCCCAGGTGCGGACGAAGATCCGAAGAATTGGTCGGGTACCGCCGTAGCGGAGACTAAAATTGTCAACGGTCCGCCGGTAAACTGTCTCGCTTACCTCAACCAATTGTGTAGGTTCTAACGGTAATTCTCTCCTTCATACATTCTCTAAGCAACAACCTACGTGAACACTTCAGGGTCTAGCCTTTGGGATGCAGCGTACCCAAGGCAAATAAGTGCTACGTTATACCACGGGAAGGAACCTTACCTTCGGTATCTGCACTGAGTACCTACCTGCCTGACAAAAGTAGATACCTTGACAATGTACGGATGGGTGATACGGATAGGTACTACGAGATGGATCGAGTATTGAGGTACTATGTACCGGTGGGGTTGGGCATGCCAAATCCAGTTCGAGGTGCCCGCCGCCGTCATGTTGGGTCGGCCAATGGCAGCGCCTGAAGCGACGGCATGCTCAAGCGACTGGCACTGGGACTTCCCGTCGTGCTCTCAGCTCGGTGTCCACCTGCATGGCCCATGTCCCTACTGAACTATTCTGGTCCAGTTTGTTCCTGCTGCCACCATGTTCGCTGCCAGTAGGCTGCGCACCTGCTCTACGCTCTACATGATGGCTCCATCTACGGGCGTAACGGATCGAGTCCTTGCAGTCAATGGTCACATTGACAGGAGCCTGATACCTTAGTGTCGGTCAAGTCAAGTATTGGGATCACGATGTTCAGCGAGGCAATGCAAGTGGTGCGTGTTTTGATAGCTCCGGGATGCGACATTCTCCCTCTCTCGCCTCAACCTAGGGTGACTTACTTTCCTCGACGCCAGAGCATGGTTCATCATCGATGTCCCAGAACCTTATTCCGAGGATATGGCAAGTCCTGGTTCGTTGTACGTACCTGACACTGAGCTCTGTTGAGAGAACAAATATCGACTATTGACAGCCTCTGGACGAATACGGTCACATTGGTTGGTTGCTGATGCTGATAGGTGGGGGTCATTGTCAATGGAAAGTTGCTTTAGTACCTTACCTACCTCAATTGAGACCAGGGGATTTTGACAAGATTTGCCGCAACCTTTTTTCTTTCTTCGCCCAAAACCAGAGATCCAGGCCTACGGTTTCCTACCTACCTAACCTTCCTTACCTTACCTTAGGTTCTTACTTAGTCTTTCCAGCGCTTGGCAGCCCTCGGCCAGCCTGCTCTGCGGTTAGCGTCTTGTCTTGTCCTGTCAACCAACCTTACCTTCCTACCTTACCTACTCAACGTTCTTTACCTGGCCTCGCTCTTTCTTCATTTCATCGCTTTGGGACAGATTTGCTCCCGAGTGTTCCTTCAGGCCCTCTTCCCGTTGTTTCCGCATCTTCATTTATGACTTCTCCTCGACACAGAATCACCTCTTCACACTCAATCAACTCAATGGCCCTTTGTCAACTACCCCCGCGACTAAGATACCCTTGCTTGTAGATGGGTCCCGCTTACTGCGACCCATTCTTCCACCTCCCCAATCCGACTATCCGACCTTTCCTGCATCTAAGCATAACACGCGCTGCTGCGTGAGCCTATCTCGCCTCATACTTTGGTAGCGCAACAATTCTCAATTCAAGGGTTGATTGTGTATGTGGGTTACATCCCATGCTTACCGCCCCGTATCACAAGTCTCACTTCATTCCACGAAGCCGTGTCTCCCTATTCTCATCCACCGACCGTAGATAGTGAATCAGTTTGAGAGAGTCGAGCGGCAGCCATGTCGGCTTTGCCCGACCCTCTCGTGAGAAGGAACCGGGGCTATTTAGGCAGTGATAGTTCCGCCTTGTCCGCCCGCGATATTCAGGTACGTCCATTTGCCGATTTCGTCTCGTCTCTCGTTTCCTGTTCCCATACCGCCGCTTGCCTCTGTGCGCCTTTACCCATTACTTGGCCTTATTCCGCACCTTGACAGCTGCCTCGACCCTTCATCGCATCTTACATCGGACGTTAGCTCATCATTTTTTCAGGACCGCAGTCAGTTGCGTTATGAGCTCGACCTCAACTCGTGGAACCTACGTATTTGGGGCGTGGCCGCATCGGGTTTTTTGACAGATTCGTGAGCCATTCTTTCTATGTTCTCACTCAGAATGTGATCATCTCCCTGCAGTACATTGACTATATTGCGTAGTTACAATCTCTTTTCCACAAATGTCATTCTTGCCTCCATAGCATTTGTATACTGGCCATCACCCGGCGAAAGATGGCAAGGGCTGCTCATCAACTTCTTCACTCTTCTGGGCTCTGTGATTGGTCAATTGCTCTTTGGTTTTCTGGCCGATTTTTATGGTCGAACACGCCTATATGGCATTGAGCTCGTGCTTGTCATTGTGTCGACAATTGGTGTTGCCACTAGCAGTTACGGCTTCGATGACATGAGCTTCTTGGCTCTGTTCATCTGGGTGAGTTGTCATCGCTGGTTCAACTTGTCTTCTCTCCTCTCCGTTGAGGGCTTTGTCAGCTGACATATAGGACTCTCATAGTGGCGCTTCGTGATGGGTATCGGTTAGTTACCAATTTCGGCCGTTTCGATGATTCCGCTCGAGTAACCACGACTAACTCATTAACAAAAGGTATCGGTGCCGAGTATCCCCTTAGCGCAGTAATAACCTCAGAATGGTCGAGCACTCAGTCCCGGGGAACCATGATATCTTCTGTCAGTCAGCAAGCAACTGCCCAATCTCAGGACTTCACTACTAACCAAAAAGTGCTAGACATTCATGATGCAGCCCATAGGCCAAGCTCTTGCCCAACTTGTCGGCCTCTGGGTTCTCGTCGGTCGTGATAAAAGTGAGGGCCTACAAGCCATGCAGTGTGGCCTCGATACGAAATATGATAGGGAATGTCGCCGTGCCGTGGACGGCATTTGGCGCATCGTGATCGGCTCTGGCGCCGTCCCCGCCCTCTTAGCCATCATCTTTCGGTTCTTTTTATTCGACTGTGGATTATACAGTCTCGAGGTCAGAAACAAGCCCGGTATTGCCTTGAGAAACACGCAGAGAGTATACGGCGCTCCTGCTGGCGCGACAGCCGGCTACCCCATGACCCCTCAAGATGGGATGCAACCGACCAACTCACAACAGCCTATGCCCATCCAATTTTCCAAGCAGGATCTTTACAAGTACTTCATCGAAGACGGGAATTGGTACTATCTATTAGGTGAGCTCCTCGCCCAATGTTTAACGGCCTGGATCACGAGACCTTGACTTGGGTCTTGAGACCTCACACGAGTGGCCTCTTGTGTTTGAGAAAGATACATAGACTAACCATGATGTAGGCACCGCTGCAACATGGTTTTTCCTTGATGTAAGCTTCTATGGTCTCAGTCTTGATAATAGAGGGACTCTCTCAGACATGTGGGCGACCACGGGACCAACACCCATCGACGACCGGCTTCCGTGCTGGAACTCCAAATTTCCTGGCGGGAACGCAACCGCACGACTATGGAGTCAGACCGGCCTTCCAGTCTGGCAGACGGACGCAACTCTACCTTGCAATACCATTTACGATGTGCTTCTGGAACAGGCGAAGCAGTACTTGTTGACTGTATCCATCGCCTCAATCGCCGGCAGCGCCTGTTTCGTCGTCGCTGCCAACAGGATCCCAAGAAGACTGTGGCTCACAGTTTCATTTTTCGTTCTTGCTATACTATTCGTCATCACGGGCTGTGTATACTACGGCGTCAACAGAACCCCGGGGGCCCCGGCGACAGTCGTGTTTGTGGCACTATGCCACTTCATGTTCAACTTTGGTAAGTGTCTTCTCTCCTCTGCTTACATGCCCGAATAAAGTCCTGGCAGCGGCAAACTAACAAATTCCCCAGGGGCAAACACCTTGACTTTCATCATCCCAGCCGAGATTTTCCCAACCTGCTACCGCTGCACCTGCCACGGCATCTCCGCCGCCGCCGGCAAGCTGGGCAGCATCGTGGCTCTCCTCGTCGTGTACGGCATCAACTCGTCCTACACCGCCGTCAACCGGCAGGGGCTCATCTTTTTGCTCTTTGGCTCCTTTGTCGCCGTCGGTGCCGTCTTCTCCTGGGCCTACCTGCCCGACTCGCAGCGGTGGGTCATTGACGAGGACACCGGGCGGCGTGTGCTCGAGCAGAAGACGCTTGAGGAGCTGGGGGAGGGGCGCGAGAGGGCGAGGCAGCTGGGCGAGGTGATTACCGTCAAGGAGAAGTGGCACGATTTGAAGAGGAGGAGGGTGTCGCCGTCGCCTTCGCAGGCAACGAATCCATGAGACAGAATGCTTCAAACAGTTGGGGATTAAGCCATATCTCAGGATACCTAGGATGAATAGTTTGGTTCGAATAATTTGCTTGGAGGGCATTGAGACTCTCGACCTCCTATTTCTTCGGCCAATACAGGTATATAACTGTTGAGGTGTGTTTCACTCTGCTGCCTCGTCCGATCCGTCCTCTCAATAGGTCATGTTCACGCGTATCACACATCCACCAATGCACATAACTTCCTTCTCCCACAAACGGTTCTCAAATACTCAGCTGCCCATCGGGATCAAGAGCCACCTGCAAAAACTCCGCAGTCTCGGCATACACAGCCTTGCCGCTCGTCGTAGCCTGTACATGCACGTTACTCTCGAGCGCGTCGAGCCATTTCGCCCAGCGCAAGCCCGGCGCGGGCGCCGGCCACCCGCACAGCGGCTGCAGAACGCGCGAGAGACGGACGGCAAAGGGCGCAAAGTGGACGTCGACGAGGGACATTGTGTTGCCTAGAAAAAAGGGCCCCTGCTCGTCGGCGGCGAGGACGAGGTCCTTGATTGCGTTTTGGAGGCGCTCAATGTACTGCGGTCGTAACGTTGGGTCTGGACTGCGGAGGAGGCGGTAGAATGCTGGGGCGAGGCGGGTATTTATCTAAAAGTAAAGAGTAGCTCTGTGTTAGAATTTTTGACGCTGCTCATGTTGCCCTTGGAGAGGAGAGAGGGAAAGGGGTGTGTGACTAACGTGGCTGATCCATTGTCGACAATTTGCGCGGAGCTTTACGTCCGTCGGGAAGAGTGGAATGGTACTGTCCATATCTTCGAGCTGTAGAGCCAGCAACGTTGCGAATGATCAACAAAGAGGGGTTCCTACGAGGGGGGAACATCCGCATCCGTGGGGGAGTTTAGACTGACATATTCCAATATCACACCGCTGTCGGCACAAGCCCAGTCGCCCTGCCGTATCGCGGGAACGGTTCCCCTGGGATTCGCTTCCAGCAGCGGTTGCGAGGCGGCCACCTTGTAGGGGTCTTCTTCGCAGTACTGGTACGCCAGCCCCTTCGCTTCGAGAGCGATCCAGACGCTTTGAGAAAAGGGGCTGAACGAATGAGAGGTTCTAGGTCAGTACATATGGAATGGAGAGAGAGTTCTGCGAGAGAGAGGGACGAACCAGTAACATGCCGAGTACAGCTTCAGATCGCTCTCCTTCTCATGCTTCTTGATGGTCCAGTGAGCTCGGCCCGTTGCCTTTCTAGGCCCATCATTCTATTTTAGCCACATGGCATCAGCTTCTGGGGGCATATCTTCACTAGCAGCGCCATGTAAACTCTCACCTTGGCGGCATCGGTCTTGTGCTTGGCAAGATACCGCTGTATACTATTCTTCTTGACCTCGTCGCTCTTGGCTAGGGTATGCTGATGCGGGCCGGGAATTCCGCTGACGCTAATGTGGCCATTCACCCGCTGAATTGTCCAAAACTTCTGCCCCGGCGCGGGCAGGTTATTCGGCGTAGCGGGCGCGACCCTCAGCTCCCTCTCGCCGGGCGGCGCGAGCACGGTGTGCGCCCCGTTGAGCGCCTGGCCGCCGTTCAGGGGCACGTAGGTGCCGTCGTCGACGTCGTGGAGAGTGGCGCCCGGGAAGTACTCTGTGATTTTGATCTTGACGTTGCACAGGTTGAGCTTGCGCGAGACGCGGTTGCGGCGCTTCTTGGTTGGGTCGTCGGACTTTTTGGTGCCCGGCGGGCGGCCCTTGAGGCGGCAGTCCCAGTAGTGGGAGATGAAGGGCTTCTTCTTGTAGTTTTGGGTCGAGCGGTGGGAGTAGACGTTGTCTACGTGTGGAAAGTAGGTTTCGAATCTTTTGACATGGTTAGGAAAAGATGTACTTTGTGTTTGTTTGACAGTGCTGCTGCTGCAGCCGGAAGAGGGGTAAAACGGACTGCTCATGAGTGAGAATGATGAGACCATCTGCGTCAAACAGCTTCTGCCGCCACTCATCGAGGTTTGGGGGGTCGAGAACCCATTTTGTGCTCAAAAGACTGCCGTGCGGCCTCCATCCGGGGGTGGTAGTGCCGTCGATGGGGATGAATCCGGCGGGCCCGACGAGAGACTCGCCCGTCTCAATCGTAATGGCTTCTGGCATTGCGAGGCCCGGCGCCAAAATGCCAAACTGGCCATGCTGAACTGGTGATGGCTCCATCACGGGGCCGTGGACTGGCTGATGTGAAAGATTCGACGGTGACGGCCCCGTTGGTCCAAAACCACTACCACCAACACCAGGCACTACTACAGCATGTTGCTGCTGCTGCTCAGTTTGTCTGTCTGCGACAGAAGGCATATGTACATCTTGATCCCGTGAGAGCTCGGAATGAAACACCGATTGGTGGGCCTCCATGCCAGACATATCGATGGAAGACCCGGTGTTAGGGGGGCCGGAGCCGGGACGGAAGTGGGTTACGGCACCGGCATCGGCACCGGTAGCAAAAGGCGGAGGCGGCGGTGGCTGCTGCTGCTGCTGTAGCTGCTGGGCAGCGGGGTGGAGACTATGCGGAGGGATGGTCTCGCCCCTGCTGGCTGGAGAGACTTCAAACGGCGAGGACGGACCTGCTAGCATTTGCCGCACGCGGGCGGGTGTTAGAAAAGATGCGGCGTGTTGCTGCTTTAATGCGTTGTGCCTTCGTCGACGCTGCAGTGGTTGGGGAAAAGTGGATGACGAGTGTTGGTTGACGTTGGGTGCCACGGGTGCCCAGTAGTTTTACCTCAGCATTGTGCGGCCGGGGTGCGGCCGGGGTGCGGCAAGGCGGCAACTGGTGCACGGGCCTGAAGAGCTCTGGCCATCATCACCACCACCAACAACCTAACACTAAGGTACATGAGGTACTCATTGTCACCTGGGACTGCCTTTTCATGTCAAAGGCAGGTAGCCTTCTTCTTGATAAGCACTTCTACTTACCCGGGATGAGGTGGCCAAAAATTTGCTCACACTATACGGCAGCTTATAGAGCTTCACTCAAATGTACAGCACCGGTAATCATATCCGTGGGAGTCGTCTGGTTTATTCATAAGTCCTGCCGTAATCACAGATCAACGCTCTCAACCATTTACCTGCCTCTGCTAGTGCGGTCAGTTAGTCCCGTATTATACACATCCATGACTATCGAATTCCGTTCGACATGATCCACAATCACCTGCCGTATTTTGAAACATGAAATCACTCAGAATGGCTTCTTGGCCGTGAACTCCTTACTCCGTGACGTGGTAAGTCAAGTAACATCCCGCTCAATTTGTCGCATCCCACGAGGAAAGGTCCATCGCGTCCATCGGCCCCATATTCATCAGTGATCGAAGTACACCCTCGGCAACAGGCGTCATGCCCGTCTGGCCCTGCAAGTCGCCCCAGCCATTGGGCATTCCAAAGTCTGCTCCAGGTGTATCAGGCATAGAAAACCTTTGGTTCGGCGTCAGCCCAGTGCGGATTCCAAACCCGCCTGCATCGTTGAAGTAATTGGCATTTGCGTCTGCGCTACCTCGTGCATTGTTGTTTGATTGCGCCGTGGCTGAGTTGGTATCGAAAGAGTTTCTCCCAGACCCATCGAGTCCGCCTGCCATACTCACTCGCGGATCCGAGGCGGTCGAGTTCGGTGTTGGCCGGTTAGACTGGTCACCATCTGGTGACCCAGACATGTTGTTGTCCCCACTGCTTTCGCTTTGTCCAAACCCAGTGACACGCCCACTGCTTGATCCGGATTTGTCGTACATGGATCCAGAGCTCGGCGTCAATGAACTTCCATGCAATGGGAGGTTGTTGGTACTGTTTGAACCATACAACAGGGATGCCTCTGCAGACAGCCAGCCGCCTGGACCACCGAGATTAGTCGTCGCGGAGGCGGAAATTGGAGCGCTTTCGTCATTCTGGCCAGGCTCGACAATGTTGGGCGCATTGGCGGCGTTTCCATCGTCATCCACAGTCTTCATAAAGTGGCACTCGTTACGATAGGACATGATACCCTGGACGCCTTCCGGATCGTCACACACAGCACCACTCTTGGCGGTGCCGCCGTTGGCCGAGCCGGGCTATCAAATGATTAGCACATGTATAATCACTACCAAGATTGTTCACTCACGCTTTCACCGCTGCGGGGGAATGCCGTCTTGAGTTTTGGTATTCTCATCGCAAGGGCTTCTAAATCAACGTCCAATTGCACAAGGAACGATTCTGTGAGAGGGTTTCTTCTCTTCAGGGCATTCATGGCTGAGAGAAGGAACCTTAATGAGTCGGCTGTTTGGCTATCGTCTGGACGACTCTTGAGATATTGAACAAATACCCTTGCTGCAACGTAAAGACAGAAGGATATAAATGGGTTCATCTGAGACTTGTTAGTAGCTCGAGTCTTATGGCAATCTTGCTGAACGTACCGCTGAGAGATCCATGTGTGAGATCATTCTCATGATACTCGCGATCTCGTTTGCCGCAGTAATACAGCGCACCTTGCTTTCTGCACTGACCGAAGCCGGAAGTTTGTTCTTGTCTGCCTTGAAGATGGCGGCCTGGTGCAAACAGATTGTCGATGTGTGAATGCTCATGTTGGTGAAGACGATGTTGGGGTTGCCCAGACCAATGGGAAGTTTGAGGTGCGACGGCAAACAGAGAGAAGTGTTGAGAAGGATGTTGTCCATGTTGCGGTGCCGCTTCCAGAACTCACCGTTGAGGTCGTGGTCTCGATCATCGGGGTCAGGCCGGTGCAAGTGAATCAGGTTGCGGCCAAAGAGGCATGCCATCAGTACGATGCCTCCAAAAGAGGAGAGTTTGCCAGCACCAGACGGGCTCATGCAGTCTTGCAGCGACTGCGTCTGCTCGGGTCGGCTCATGTCGAAAGACTCCTCTGTACAAGGCAGGTTTGTCATGATGTCCTTTTCATCCACTGTCATCGGCCACCCGGTGCCAATACTCGCGTAGCGATCTTCACAAAATGCCATCCAAAAGGTACGCCGTCTCTCCTCGCGCTCGGTCCAGTCTCTTGGCGGCGGAAGACACTGCTTCACGTCCAGTCCGGCACCATCGAGGCGATGTAGGCCAATCCTAAGCACAGATTAGCTATCGAGTCCTGGGTTGGTGGATATCAAAAGCTCACATTTGACACAGGCGAATGGCAGACCCCGTGCTCATCCAGGCCCTTGGGAAGTACATCATCTTGAATTCGTATGAAGCAAGCAGCACATGGGTCTGAGCATGAGCCACAGATATCATGTGTTCGCCATACCCTTTGATGTAATCTGCCTCGACATACTTACGAGCTCTTTGATAGAATAAGTCTTTGAGGTCAAGGTATTTTTCAGTGATTGAACACGACAAGGTCCATATGGCATATCGGAGTGCAACAGGCGGACGTTGGTTTGGGGCCCTGTCAGTCATGTCAGTGTGTTCTTGAATAGGGCTGCATCTAAGCATGGCTAGGTGTATGGGGCTCGTACAAGTTCATGGCTGCTAGATATCTGTATTTGTGGATCATAGGCACGGATGGATGAACCTTTTCAAAGAAGATTTGGTGGCTGTGAATCAACCGTCAGTGAGTACAGTGGTCTTCAGGAGATATCATGATGATACTAACAGCTCGTCAATGGTTTCCTGTGGCGGAAGAGGTTCTTCAAGGCCCAATCCAATCATTTCCCAAGTGAAATTGCTCCCGGCGTTGCTCATGCCCATTGACATGCTCGAGTTGAAGTTGAAATCATCCATAGGAGGGGCAGCCGCATTCTGAGCCTGGGGAGACTCGCCGGTAAAGCGCCATCGGTCGACGTCGTGATCACCGCCGAGACCAAGAGCGGGATTGGGAATACTATAACTAGTCGGGGCGGCGGTGGCTCGGCTACGATTGGCGGCGGTTGCGTCCAAGTTGTGAGGGATGTTGGAGGAGGGATTGGATGGCACGGGGGGAGGGTCTTGGGTCTTGAGCAGGGTTTCGACTTGTTCTATACAGGGTGTAAAGACGTTCAGTCAGTCAAGGCGATGGACAACAACACGGTAAAAATAACAAGACGTGGAACGAAGAACACAAATATCAAAAAAGAGCAAGGCGCAAAGACGGGAATGCTCACTCAGTCGTTCCTCGAGAGCCTTGACATATCCTCGCTTGGGGCCACTCTTCCTGCGAACCTCATCGTAGGCGCAAGAATGGCCCAGCCTGGCGCAAGTGCTGCAACTGGGCCGCACTCCGTCACACTTCAACTTGCGCTTTCGGCATATCATACATGCTAGGCGTTTCGGCTTGGGAACGTTGCTGTTATCGGCGGCCCCTTCTCGACCATTGGAGTCGGCGTCTGGGCTGTGAGGGCGTTTGTGGGAGTTGGCGCCATTTGTATCTGGCGGCGTGGGTGTACTTGAGGACATGGCGAGGGCAAAGTCTCAGCGATCCCAACTACTATTTCAATATCCGCCGGTCGAACAGTCGGGCAATCCGGAGATTGATTGTGGAAAAAACAAGGCGATTTCTCTGGTTATCGGAGGGGGGAACCGAATGTAAAGACGCCCTCAATCCATAGGCGCACGCGCGCACAATTACAACGGATACGGCTGCTGACTGTCGAGTTTCGCACTAGTCGAGGCCCGTCGCACAAAGGGTCAGAGGTCGCGGGGCGCTTCGAAATAGGATTGACGTCGAGAAGAGGTTTCTGATTATTCGTACGGAGCAAGGTGCTGCAGAAGATGCTAAGTTGAAAGGGAAAAAAGGTAGAGGTCGTCGGTAACTGGTAGTGTAGGCAAAGATGAAAGAGCGAAGAGGGCGGGCGGAGAATGGGTTATCGGTCGTCGTTGGGGCGGTGGAGAGGAGAGTGGAGGGTACCTAGGCGTAGAGGAGACGGGAGAAGCAGTGTCGGGTTCTGTCAAGAGCGCGAGACTTGGGGTTGAGAAGCAAGGATGGATAGAAGCGGAGGATTAGGTGCAGTGGTGCAGCTAAGCGTGAGGTGAAGTAAGGTAAGGTGGTATAGCGGCACAACGGGCACCAGCGACCAGCTGCCAGCAGCGCATCTAGTACCCATAGACCCGTACTGAGCCGGCTGGCCATTGGCGCCTTACATTAGTAGGTAGGGCTCCTTAAGTTCTAACTAAGGTACACAATTAGTGTGGGAGACTCGAGTGTCTGGCAGTCAATCTGCGAGCCCGGTAGCGTCACGGCCTGGCCGCCATACCCTTTCCAGCTGAGCCCATGATTAATAAGATGCTCCGTATGCGGTACCTTCGATAACGTTCAGGTACATTATCGACATGGGTCCCTAGCTTTCTGTACCTACCGCCAATGTCCACTCCATCTACATACGCGGTTATGATACCTACGCAGTATGCCTAGTACGATGGACAATCCGCTGACGATGGACGCCACAGAAACCGTGCTGCCTAAGGTAAATGTTAGACTATTCGTGGGCACTTTGTTCTGGGTATCTCACCTCGAAGCATGAATGATGAAGAGTTCGCATCTTACATCTTAGGTGAGTACAGTAGTGAATGCCCACCACGACTGATCCAGTGGTGAGACACCGAGAAACCCTGCAAATATGTATGCGTAGTGGGCAGTGCCGCAAAAGACCCTGCGTTGAAAGCGAAAAGCGAGAAACACGAGTAGGGTCGGAGACTAGCACAAGATCGCGAATACGCTTATTGGCAATTCGGCACTGTATCCCAGGTCCAATTTCTCACTCACTTTCCCTCGCGTACTCGCAGTTGCGGAGCGGAGTACTGCGTAGAAGTGCGAATCGTCAGGCATGTGCTACCTACTTTGGCCTTGGTGTCTGTGGATAACCCCAAGTACCGACCATACCGTGTCGGGTACCTCAGATATAATGGTCAATATTGTTATGTATCCGGTCATTTGTCACCCTTGAGCTAAATTTCTTCAGGCAACTGGAAGACAAACTTTATTCAAGTGTTAACATTTACTTCCCCGTCCATCCTTCCTCCTTGCCCTACGATGTCGCGACCTTTCTACCGTTCTTTAGGTCACATCACATCATGCATGAGAGGTACCTTCGTCAACGTGTCAACCTACACCAGCAACCAACGTTCGGATAAAAGCCGGGAGCAGAGCTGGCCGAGGCTCATGGTAACGCAAGGTACTTAGGCGGGAGTTCTCATCAGCACTCCTAGGCAAACGCCTGAACGCGCAACTCTTGCACTCACCCTCACACCACAATCTCATGCACCACAGCCACACTGCGCTAGGAGGCAACGGCTGCGTAGCCCATCAATCCGGTACACCGTACAGCTGCCCACGACCCCAGCATCTGCCGTCCGCCAATGACCACATTTAGACACCTCTCTGCTTTGTATCAAAGGCAGATCATCTCATAATGGTGACCCAAAGAAAAGTAAGGTAAGGTAGGGTGGCACACGTTGCATGTGTAGGTGTAGGTGAGCACGTAGGGTACTTTTCTGCAAGTTGCACCACCTTCTCGTCAGTTTCCTCCAAGGAGTCCCAATGAAGAACTTTCTCTTCCTTTCATCTTATTTCCTTGCATCTAGCACATACATATGTATGTGCTCTATAAAGACGCGTAGAATACCACGTGCGAAACTCATTATGAACATCTTGTGTCTTATCCACTCTGGATTTCATCCGAAAGCGATGTCAGGAAACGTGAAGCATAGCGCATGTTTCTGGCAAGCTATGTAGGTGGAGAAGAACGTAGGCTCCTCAGCCTACATATTCAAACAGAACGTCTTTGGACGCGGAGATTATAAAGGTCTTCATTGCTATGCTGGCGATCTTGATGCTGCTACTTATCCTGCAGTCAGCTGTCAGAATAGCTCACACATCTTGATAGGGCCGCAATCGTGTCTCTGTCTCCATCTCCCGTTTCTTCCCTAATCGGCGTCAAATTGGGCCGATCTGACATTGGCAACAGAGAATTCAGCTTCTCAGTCTTCCGATCTTACAGCTCAAGCTGCCCTCCATCAACCCTTATGCCTGAGAGGTTTCTGTAAAGTTGACACATAACTGCTCAGCTTCCAGAATTAGTAGGCATGACGCTGGAACCTATATCTTCCTTTTGGGGAAGAAACTTTCGAGCTTCTAATCCCATCTGTGTCACTGAAGAACCCACCTACTCGGGGCTGAAAAGGCTATTTCTGCGCCGTAGTAAAGAATTCCACCTCATCGGAATGGTGACATTATGTCTCGTCACTTCTTCTCTGCATCCACTCCAACGATGCGAAGGACGCCAAGATCACTGTATGCCAGACAATATTTCGTTGGCGCCCAGGCCACAACCGGGCAAGGACCAGCTGTCTTGAAGGTGTGGACATGGTCTCCTGACTCTGCATGTCGAATATCCAGTCCAGAGCCTGGCGATGTAGTTAGTATCTGCGCTTTTCTTGCACCGAGCAACTTACCTTCATCGCTGCCTCCAACCAAGAAGTTGCCGTCGAAGGTGAAACCTATCGAGCCATTAAACAGTGCCCACAGTTGAAAGCATTTTACTTCGACTCACTAATAGACCGCACTGGGCCGATCATGCTGGTTATGGTTCGCTGGCAAATCCAGTCTGTCGTGTCCCACAGAGAAATTATGGAATCTGAACCTCCCGTGGCAAGATAACGTCCTGTGGGCTGTAGCTCGGCTGTCAAGCAGGAAGACGTGTGTCCGTTGAGGGCAAACTCCTTTGGCTCATCACCATGGTTGAGTTGGAAAGCAGGCTTGAAATCGGGATATGTCAAGATTCGTGATCTTCCCTCGCCGGTTGTCAAAAAAATCGTATCGCCGGCCCAGCCAAAAGCGATTTGGTTGGTCTGACTGGGCTGCTGATGCGACGCGATCGGCGTAGACTGCGTTGGTGACAGCACAAAGATGTTATCCGTCTGGTGGATCGAGTGTCAGCAGAATGTCCCCAAATGATGCCAAAATCGACGTGACTGACCTTATTTCCAACGACTAGAGATTGTCCATCGGGCGCCCATACGAGGGTAAAGGCGTCTCCCAAGCCTCTTATCTCGTTGATGCAAGTCTTGGATCGAACGTCCCAGAATTTGACAACTCCGTCATTGCTTACACTGCACAGCTCAGCATCCTTGACTGGGTTGAATGCAACCTTTTCAATGGCAGCAGAGTGTCCCTTCAGCTCAGTCGAGAACCGCACATTTGGCTTCTCCGGATTCCCTACAAAAGTAAGGGATGTCAGCCTTATTGCCTCATGGGCAAGCGGATCACTTTCATCACGTACAGACGCGTAGCGTTTTGTCTGAGGAGCCTGTAGCGACCAAAGTTCCCAATGGATTCCAAGCTATCGATCGTAACCTGTACGGATAGTTAGCATTACAAGTCAAAATATCAACCGGGACTGTCCATGGGCAAGGGCCATACGTGTGCCCTCTAGAGCTTGAGCTGGGATCGTGGTAGGGCTGACTCTTGAGGTTAGTCAGGAAAGCCGGAAACCTCTCCTTGGAGAGGCTCAGCCTTGTGCGAGGAGGCACCATGACAACGCGCCAGGAACACCTTATATGATGAGCAGCAAAGTGGGTTGAGTACAGTCCTAAATGGTATGTCAATATCAGTCTATGAGCACAACGCAAACAGTGGAGGATCAAGCTGGAAGATACGATAGTAAGCAGTGTGTGTCGACCGCAGGGGTGACAATTCAAGTGCACAATTCTACCAATCGATCAGTACATACAGATTGAGTCTCTCAGCAGAATAGAACCAATGCTGTCTAAGCTGTGCACTGATTGTTGTTGGTCGACGCCAAACCTCAGAATGGACTTCACAATGTTGTCGTTGGCATGCAGAAGCGAATGCGGTATACGAAGTGGATATCTGTACCTATCTGAGGTGCTTGGGTAGGTAGGTACCTTACTCCCCTGTAGTACCTCAAGGCACACCTCGTTGAGTCCATCTTGCGGTGCCACTGATTATCTAATGATGCTCGGGTAAGGCGGTCCGAACAAAGCGCCTGTAACGTGCTGGAGTGCTGCGTGCAGCTGCCAGAGACAGAAAAAGGCGGGTCGGGTACCTTATCGACGGGAAGCTCCCCTGGTGGCTTCACAAGCTCCCGCCGGCGACGAGGAGCTCGTACAACGATGCTTATTCCAAGCCGCCAATTCGCATCATCAGTTCCCTTCCCACTCCGCATATTGGTTTCATCCAAGGGCCTTGATTGATTGGAAAAGGACATGATGTTTCTCGTTTGAAAGACAATAGCGGCCATGATCAAGACATTGTGCGGCTCGACGACAAAGAATACCAGGTCTTCGGCTCGACGAAACCCCCGTTTGTTACCAACAACACCCTGCCATTGCGACGGCATATCCTCATCGAAGCGATCGACGCGTTTACATAGGGCCTTGCCGAGATGTATTGGCCCATAGGAACCCCGAGAATCTTCGCAACGAGCAGCAGGTCTGGTCCTGCCTTCAACCTAGTCGTTTCTCACGATGGCCTGCCCAATCCCTTCGATAATCGGCCGACAGATGAGGCCTCAGAATCGCCGTCCGGGAATGTGCAACAGCAACAATTTCCGCACGATGCTCTTGAGCTGGCGACGCCAATGACACCGCTGACGCCCGCCATCCAGCCAGTTGACGACCAAGACCACGACCCGGAAACGAGTCGGCCATCCCCCCGCCTCAACGTTAATATTCCCCTGAAAGATCCCGTCCTCGCTCTGCGCATCTCCCGCCCTGGCCACCTTTTTGCATCGATAACCTCCACTTCAATGACAATATGGCAAGCTAAGGTTGGTCCTTCCTCCGGATAGCTCTGTCTTGTAAAGTCCAATGAACCACGCTTACGTTCTTCTCAAGCCCACTGTGATTTTGGCAGTAGTAGTGCGCTCGGAAACTTCCCTGTCGACTTATGGGGAAAACGTCGACCTTCTGATGAGACCTGATTCGGCTATACTTGTGGTTCGGACTACCCTAGGCTACCTTATCACATACTCACTCGCGATGGACTCTGAAGCCCAAGTCTACAAACCGTATTTCCCGAGCTACGCAAACATCCAACGACGTCGTCAGAACCATCATGGCCAGCCCGGAAGTACAGCTCCAGACCAGTACCTCTGGGGCCCTGGTGAGGGCCAAGGAGTGCGTGATGTAAGCGTTCGTTTCAGGATGGTCATCAAAGTTGATGCTGGTATAGAGAGCGCCCTGGCACTGGATGACGAGCTGGTTGTTGCCACGCGCAAACCAGGCGCCATCCAGTGTATCCGCTGGACCCCGGACCAGAGCGGAAGCCAGACTAAGACAGAGATCATCAGTCGAATGGGATGGCTAGAAAAAAAGATAACCGTCATCGAGATGACCCACGATCGGCCTATGAACCTGTCAACCTGGACCACCAGTGACGGCAAGGTCTATGCAGTCCAGCGGCTTCATCCTCGCGAAGAGGCCGACCCAAAGAAGCTTTTCAAAGGATATTGCTTCCACACGCCCGCTAAATCGGAGGAGTCCGCCATAAAAGCAGTCATCAATGCAAGATTCTCATTGATTGCTGTAGGTTGTGCAGATGGGTCCATCCGTGTTTACTCGGCTCGAGATTATGCTGGCAATATTCCTCCTTCGCATACACACACCATTCCAGTGTCAACAACGGTTTCTGGTTCACTCACGACTCTTAGCTACTCACCTGACGGCTACTGTTTGTTTGCTGGATATGAAAGCGGCTGGGCTACATGGAGCGTCTACGGGAAGCCGGGCAGCAACAGTTTTGGCGCGCACGATGCTATCATTGAGGCCAATGGCGAAAACTGGATTTCTGGCATTGGAGACGCCGTCTGGCTCGGCAGCGGTTCGGAGATCCTCATTACGCATCGCAAGCACGAGGCGATTTGGGTGCTGGAAATGGCGAGAAGCGCAGTCGTTGGCAACTACAACGCTGCAAATCTCATGCGAACCGTTTTGCAGACAAGTACCAACGTCATGATATATCGCGGATATGACCTACCAGATCTAGCCAGTATCTCTGCGGAGCCGCACCTGTGGCACACAACTAAAGTGCCCTCAGCCTATTTACTTCAGCAGTGGCCCATCCGCCACACTGTCATTTCACCAGACGGTCGATACGTTGCTGTGGCCGGGCGCCGAGGATTGGCTCACTATAGTGTCAACAGTGGTCGGTGGAAAACGTTTGCCAACGACGCCATGGAAAATGAGTTTCAGGTTAGGGGTAGTATGTGCTGGTATCAGCATATCCTCGTGGCTGCCGTTGAGGCTAATAAGTCGCACGAATTGCGACTCTACTCGAGAGAAACGGCGCTCGACAACTCTCAAGTGCTTCACACGGAGCGATTACCAGCTCCAGCAGTTTTAGTGACTACTTCAGGAGAGGACTCGTTACTTGTGTACACCTACGACAACCTACTCTACCACTTCATTTTCGCGCCCACCAACGGTTCGATTAGATTGGTTCAGCTAGGACAGATCGCATTCCATGGCATCGTGCGCTCGCCTGCAAGAGTCCGCGGTCTGAGCTGGATTTTGCCAGACAGCCAACTCGTTGACGGTGATCCGTCGCAAGATGTTGCCGTGGCGTCTGTCCTATTCCTAGTAGATGCCAAGTTGGTATTGCTACAGCCCTCATTCAATAGCGAGGGCAATTTGAAGTACGACATGAAAGTCATCGCTCAAAACGTTGAATTTCATGTAAGCATGCGGGACCAGCCCCATTTTGATGGACTAGCTACACATGCTGAAGAGTTGTCGCCTACGGGGGCAGACGTGACTCTACGCAACTCACTCTGGGTGTTTGATGGCCAGGATTTCAAGGTCTGGGCAGACATACAAGAGGTGCTGCAAGCGGCTTCAAATGAGGCACAACGAGAACTGCCAAAGACAATATCGGTCCCTCTAGACTTTTACCCCCTTTCGACGCTTCTTGGAAAGGGTATTATCCTTGGAATTGAAGCTGATCTAATACAGCGACGAGACATCAGCTTCTCCTTCTTCCGCTTCGCCATTCGAGTCGGTTTGCCATCACTAATTTTGAGAGACACCCTGCTAATAGTTCATTAACAGACACATTTATTCTTGCCTGACATTCTGCGATTCCTCCTGACCGAGGGCCGGAAAGTAGATGCAGTCAAGCTTTCGGACCGGTATCAAAACCTGGAATATTTCGCACACGCGCTGGAGATACTACTTCACAAGGTATTGGATAAGGAAGTTGACTCCGGACCAAGTCCTGAGGAAGCAATCTTACCAAGAGTACTTTCGCTTTTGTCGTCTTTTAAGCAGTACCTAGATATCGTGGTGCAATGTACAAGGAAAACGGAGGTGAGGCAATGGCGCACACTTTTCGCATACCTCCCGCCGGTACAAGAACTTTTCGAAGAGTCGCTTCAGCGAGGATCATTGAAGACGGCCGGAGGCTATCTCATCATCTTGCATACTCTAGATGAGCTTGGATCTGCGTCAGAACAAACAGTACGCTTGCTATCAAGAGCAATGAAGGAGGGTGACTGGGAGCTGTGCAAGGAACTTGCGCGGTTCTTGGCAGCAATGGATGAAACTGGCGACACGCTCCGTGAAGCAATGGAAGGCGTGAATATCTCCATGCAGGGTAACAAGGATCAATCAGGGCTGATGAGTCGTCTTGATGTGCCTCACGGCAAAGCCGTAAATGGCTTGGGGTTGAAGTATATAGAGCAGAGCGACGAGATGGAGTCGGAAGGTCAGTCGGTCAGCTCGGCCGCCAGCTTTAGTTCAGATGGCCGCTAGAAGGTGCTGACATATTTAAAATGAAGTTCATGAGTGCCATTCTCAATAATTCCCTGTGACATTACAGATATGATGAACTCGTCTTCTAGATGACCGTGATGGACGAGGCGCTGGTGTCCCGTTGCTACTTGTGCAGACGCGCCTGCATAAACTCTTGGTTATGCAATGACCAGTGCGACGGGTACGTACCTCCCCCGCCCCCTCCAGCGTCCCTGGCAGGCACGGCTGGCCAGCCGCACCACAGCCCCGCCAACTGCTTTCTGCCCTGCAGACGAGCGCAGAGAAACACCGTCAATCAACACCCAATGAGAAACACATTCGCTCCTGTTTCTTCCCACCAGCGTCCATAATTGAGACGGCCGAGCGACCGCGATTACTCGACATTCACGAACGATCTAGACGTTCCGACGCGACCGTATCTCTGGGCCATGATCTGAGCGCTCGTCGAGGCACGAGTCGCACTTTCTTCCCGCCATGATGGATGACTTCGTTAGCGAGTCGGACAGTGACTATACGAGCTACTGGCGAGACTGGGTGAGTGCGGAAAGACAGGCGATGGGCTATTTGCGTTCGAAGGGAATTTCGATGAGGTTGGAAGCCGAGATTGCGGGCTTTGGGCTGCGACGCGGTCATTGGCGTGCTGTCGAATGCCCTCGCAATAGCCTCGGAGGACGTCCACTTGACCAAAGACGAATCACCTGCTGACCATGGCTCTTCGTAGTTCATTTCCTCTCGTGGCAACGAATATTTCTGCGAGATCGACGAGGATTACCTTACGGATCGGTTCAACTTGACTGGGCTGAACACGGAGGTCCAATACTACCAATATGCACTGGATCTCATCACCGATGTCTTCGACCTTGACTGCGACGATGAGATGAGGGAGACGATCGAGAAGTCCGCGAGGCATCTGTATGGTCTCGTGCACGCCCGATTCATCGTCACGACAAGGGGCTTGGCTAAGATGGTAAGCTTCATCTCCCCTCGGATCTTTCTCCAGCTCCTTTTTTCATTTGCATCGAAAGGGATTCAGAAGGAGGGTCTTGGACGCCTGCATTTTTAACACGATGGCAAACTAACGCTGCTCGCAGCTTGAAAAGTACAAGAAGGCAGACTTTGGCAAATGCCCCCGCGTGATGTGCCATTCGCACCCTCTCCTTCCCATGGGCCTCGCCGACATCCCCAACCTGAAGCCCGTCAAGCTTTACTGCGCACGCTGCGAGGACATTTATAATCCAAAATCCTCGCGCCACGCCGCCATCGACGGCGCCTACTTTGGCACCTCATTCCACAACATCATCTTCCAGGCCTACCCGGCACTCATCCCCACCAAGAGCGCCGAGCGCTACATCCCGCGAGTCTACGGATTCAAGGTTCACGCACCCGCCGCCCTCATTCGGTGGCAGCACCAGAAGAAAGACGCCATGCGTCGTCGCCTGCGGAAGATGGAAGTGGACAGCGGGTTCCGGGACGAGGATCTCCTGGAGGAGGACGACGACGATGTCGAGTTCGAGGGCACAGAAACCCGCGTACGGGCCGGGGATGACGAGGGCGTTGCCATGGCGTAAAGTAGAAGGAAGAACCAGGGGAAGACGGTTTTCGCTCATCTTTGGCTACATCCCTAGCCAGGTACCACATCGACACTGCACACGGGGGCGACCTGATAAAAGGCCTTCTTTGGGCCAGGGCATGGCTTCCTCCCGCCTTGCTGTTACTTTTCTTTTCTAGTTTCATCTCTTCTCTTCGGTAGACTGGGGCCTCGGGAATAATGATATGATGGCTTTCATGATCAACCAGTTACCCTTTCGTGCAGCGGCCGCTTGACAGTACACGTGAAAACTTGGTGTCCCTTTCATCATTCCACAAACCATGGATTCGTTGGCAAATGTATCCAAACCTCTACGTCCACTGAGCTGGCAGATTCTCTTGATTCCCAAGTTAGGTAATTTTACGGCAGCAGACCAGGGCCATGGTCGTCATGGCATGCTTTATATCTTCCCAACATGACAGCACAGTGGAAATGCCATGTGGTAAGGTAGACTAGCTAGATGCTTTTGTCTTGTACCGCGATCCATAGTCTACTCGGCCAAGCGCAACTAAGCGGATTATTTGGGCAATGCTAGCCTGGTCTTGCGGGCAGGGAGCCCGGTGATCGTGAACATACGTGTTACCCCCCCCCCCCCTCCCCCCCCGCCCCCAGAGACATTTCTGGACTGTTGGTAGCGCCGTGGTCTGGGCGTCGTACAGATAAAGAGCCAGACGAGTTGTCAATTCAGAAATTCGGAGGTAGCCTACTACAGTCAAGGCCCTGCAGACCTTGGTGGGAAAGAGCTGTAGCGGTAGGCAAGCTATCAACGTTCTTTTACATGGTCAACATTTCGCACAAGTAGAGAGGTTTTGAAAGCGGTCGTCAGTCACAAATCTATTCCGTAACGGTCATATCTGTATGCCATGCCTGGCCCCAAAAGAAACAATTGCCCTAGGTCTCCGCCAGTTCCTTTTCCAGGCGGGTGGTATACCGTTAACTCCGTTCATGCCCCAATATGCCCAGTGTGGAAATGCGATGGATGCTATAGCACGCCGCATCCAGTCTATCATAATCAGAACCGATTTTCAGCCTCAGGCTCGTCATGAGAGCCCTGCTTGCCCATGTACTGCGTTGATGTTGCTTGACCAATGACTGGTCTCGACGCATATGCCTCTTCCTCATCGCCAGGTCGAATAAAGTCTCCTTTGTCAGTCGCGTAGCTGTACGAGCCGACACCAGACCACCAAGCTTTATCGTGGCTGCGAGGACCCCAGGCCCAGCCAGCACCCTGAGTGATCGGAAGGTGGTAGTAGCGGAAGGCGAAGATGGATGTGAAAATTCCAATCATGTAGCCGAAGAGGATGTCGAAACCGTGATGGCGGAAGTCAAACCAGCGAGAGCCAGCAATGAAGATGGAAGCGAACCATGGTATAACAACGATGGTCAGGAGATAGATCGGAGGAGCAGCAGCTTGTCGACGGACAGCCGTTACGACCTTGTTATGCTCGGCCAAATTCCTTGCCGCAGTGGTGGAATCAGGGTTGAGCGACCCGCTTTCGCCGAGTCCGACCTCCTCATAACCGGAACCAGACTTCTTGATGCGAGAGGGGAAAGCCGAGTGTGAATCGGCACCGTTGTCTGAAGCCACGAATGGTAGGGTGACGGCGAACTTGCTGGCGAGGAACAGAGACAGGTAGATCAAACCGGCGGCGGCGGAGCTCGAGTGACCAGACGGGTAGCTGCGGAAGCCGTCGTTGAGCGTGTGCGAATCGGTATTTGTGCAAATGGCTGCAGACACGAGCTGGCCAAAGCCTGCCGCACCTGTCAAGCCGGTAATGTTGGCGGATGTGCCACCAACGATGTACTTCTGTATATTGGCTAGGTCGGGCTGGCATCGAGAAAGAAGATCGGGTCGTGGTTTACCGAACATATTCTTCATGCCGTTGGTGATGAAGAAGGCGCCAACGTGAGCGAGAGCGAGACCGAGGTATCCAACGTGCAATTCCCACAGCTTCCGTTTCCAGATGAGAGACTTGGGGGTTCCCTTGGGAACGGTATTTCCGGGAACGAGGATGAGACACACGGCAGCGATGACGATGATGGGGCCAGCGACAGCAATGATGGCAGCTAGCCACATGGGCACGGTCTCGTGGTGGGTGAACGGGAAGCTGTTGAGATTTGGGTCAGCAAGATGCGGTAGAGGGAGGGACGCTAAGCGGTGGTTCTAGTGTCTTACGAGATATTGGGGTCGAGGACAGAGAAAGGACGCTTGTTCGGCTCGACAATGCCCAATACGGTGGCAATGCCGCCGACAACGGCGAGTACAAGCCAGTCGAAGACGTATGATCCAATTAACGAGGGAGTCCAGTGGCCGCGATGCGGACGGCGCCTGGAATAGGGCGCTGGTGATTCGGGCATCTTGTAGTACGAGGGCCTCGACGAGGGCGACAAGTTTGCGAGAGGAATGGACGAGGACATGAGGTGAAGGGTGAGGGAAGAGGAGGAAAAGGCAAGAAGTAGTTGGGGGAGGAGAAGGAGGTCATCCGAATCCGAAGGGAGGTGGCTCCAAGCTACTTCAGGTGAATGAAAGGCAGCAGGCGTATGTGTATGGGCAGAGGGAAAGAGAGTTTTAGTGTTATGGGGTTAGGAATGGGGAAAGGATCCGCACGGCGACGATGATGGCGTAGTGAATAGTGCGCGCGGATACGGCACCTGGGCGGTGGCTGGCCGGGGGTTGCGGTACCTCACGGAGAGGTATCTATGTAGGGTGAGATGGGTGAGAGAGCGAGAGGCAGGGGCAAAAATCGGGCTGATAAAATTATCAGGCCGAGGTGAAAGTGAGTCGGGTCTGAGTTGCGATGTGAGAGTGAAAAAGGTAAAAGGTTGAAGGTTGGCTGGCGCGAGTAAAGAGAGAAAGTGCAGAAACGGCAACAAGACACGAGGGGCCGGCGACTTGTTTGATGTTTGAATAATGTGTAGTATAAGGTACGTGTAAGGGACCTGAGAACGCGCCAAGCGTAGTAGCACGGTACATGCGGCGATGTGGATTTGGTCTGTTGGCTGATCTTGTCTCTAGCGAAAATGGGCAGTGGAGGACAGGTCACGGATTGTAGGAAACCCGATGGCAATTGAATACGCGGAGACGTTTTGAGAGAATATGAAGAGAAGTCGAGCTGCTAGGCACTCGTACACTCAGGGCTCGGGACTAAGGAGACATGGGAGCTGCCGAGAGAGATGAAGAAAAGAAGGTGGAAGGGACGGGAGCACTTTGAAGTCGACGACAGGGAGGGAGGGTGCCGAAACAAACGGAGTAAGCAGTCGCGTGGCAGTGCTCGAGACGGCGGCGGTAGTTTGGGGCGATTCAAGAGGAGCTGTTGGCTAACGTGATACGTCGAGGTACATCGATCAGCGGCAACACAACCTTAACATCAAGCAGCCAGCCAGCCCAGCGACGCGACGGGCATCAATAATTATACGGCTCATGAGCCGTCGAATGATTGAAGTATGGCCAAATAATTTTTAGCATTATCAATTGCGTTAGGGGTCGTTCATCCGTACACGTCTAAACTTTGATGGACATTATGGGGTCTGCAGATGACTGACAGCGCAATGCATGAATGCTGAAAGGTGAGCACAAGCTTGAGCTAGGTACGCCAACAGCTAACAGATGAAGGAAGTCCCCTGATGCAGGCGCAGCCGATCATGGGCCATCGCATCTAATGTATTTTTGGGCTTGGACGAAGCTAACAGAGTACAGACTAACACAGCATGGCCGGGCCATTTGACGAAGCTGTGCGATTAGTATATGGCTCTTTTCCTCACTCGGCTAATCGCACAGCTTAGGATCCTGCGGACTCGTTGCCACAGCCCTGCCATTTCATCACCAACCATAACCGGAACCCGAGGGGCGGTACACTTTAGATGGCAGCAAGTAAGGTATCCATATGTTGCGCGTTACGCGTTGCGCGAAGAGCCAAAGGAAGGACGAAGAATAAGAGGGATACGGCAGCCCCAGCCCTTTCGTGACTCGAATGACCAATCCCGAGTCTCTGAAGTGTTTGAGAAGGCGCCTGAGGGAGCCCATTTGGCCCGTCTTGTGTCCTGTGCGACTTCTATCACCGTGAGAGGGAAAAAAGGCAGGGATGGAATATAGGTACCTGGTAAGGCTGTGCCTGGCGGGTACTTGCAAGGTACCTCTGATTTCCATTCCCGTTGCGGAGGTGAGGATGGAAGGCCCCGTCTGAGACTTCGTGACTTCACACCAGACCAACCTGTGTGCCTGTGCGCCTGCTTCCCGTGTTCCCGTTGCGAAGTACATAAGGTACCTATGTGCCTACTTTCTGCTTAAGGAGCCCCTTTCGCTCACCTTAGCTAAGGCAGTACGTACCACATGATGCACCGGCGAGGGTGGCTTGGGTCTCGGCACTGTGGGTCACAAAAAGCAGTCAATCGACTGAATCCCGTCACTTCTGACTCTGCCAAGAGTCTTGTCAGCTTCACTTTCATCAACCTGTCACTTTAACTTGCCCGTCGCACCGCGTTCTTTTGCTCTGATCATAGACCATGTTAGGTCTACGTAGTAAAATTCTGTGAACCACGTAACAGACCAAGGATAAATGATTGCGCACCAATTCGTTGCTCTATGCCACAAATATGCCAAGCACGCGCCGTCACTCGATCTTCAATTACCAACTACTGACCGGCCATTGGCACACACATACATATACGCACACTACGGATACTTCGTACGCAGTCACAGCTGACACTTGTATCCATAATAACGAGTCGTGAATTCCATTGACTGTGCGTTTAACTAATAGAGAATCACTTCCAGCTCTAGACTTCGCCTGTCGCCTGCGACTAGGTATTCCTGGGAGATTCCAGGCACGTCCCAGGGTAGCACACCTACACTCCAACATATTTCTTACCATCGTCTTATTCAGCCAGCCATCGCGACTCACGCCCATTCGCTTCTCGTCGCACACCGGCCTTGTGTGCTCGCCAGTTCCGCCTTGGTCCCAACCATGGCCCGGGATCATCGGCAGACCGGCACGTCGACACCTTCGTCAGTTTTTCAAACGCGTGGCCTTTTTCCCAATGCCACAATTCAGCCCGCCTAAGCCGAAGGCACATTTCAGAAAACATTGCTAACAGGAATCGAAATACGGATATGGGTTCTCCATATTTTACTGTTTAGAGTCTCTGTTTAGCCGCCACAAATTGGTATGGCACCGCAACATGGCTATCAAGTTTTCCCTCCACTGTAGTTTGACAGCCAGTAAATGCTCCGCGGTATTCTCGGGCACCGATGCAAAGCATGGGAAAGGTGTTCAATCCACATTGATCACTTTCTTGCAGATCGTCGCTAGAGCAACCTAAAGTACTGTGGCACGGCGGGCGGAAATAAATACCTACGTAAAATTTACTTTGTTCAATTGTTCAAATGAGCCGAGAACCTGATCAGGACTATCTGTACAGAGTCAAAGACCGCACTCCGTACGAAGTGCAACTCGAAATGTTTTCTGCTCATGCAATGCAGCAAACCCTCCCTCCACCCCCCCATTACGCCTCCAGACTGGGAACGCCAAATTAACCCCTTGTCCCACACTGTTTGGGGTGCTTCATTGGTATGCAGATCCCGAACCATGCCTATCGGCTTGAGGTCCAATGACCCTCGCTCATGTCTCCAAATGGCTGCCACCCCTGAGATGGGAACGGGTTCAGCCAACATCCCGTCGGAGACAGGGTGAAGCTGCGGTTGAGGGCAATGAATTCTCCGAACCTCTGAGGTGGCAGTGATGAGTCGTGATTCGCCAGCACTTGGCTACCCACCCTAAACAGAAGCAGCCTCACCCTCACTGCCTAAGTAAACTGGTGCATCTGGAACGAGGTTCGCAGTCGACCATGTTTATGTATTCCTCAAGTCACAACACCAAAATATGTTTTCGGGACAATGTGTGAATGCTTGCGGCCCCGCTTCTGCCGTGGCTCGGCCGGGACATTGTTTTGACATTTCGGTTTCCGGAGACCCTCAACCCGAATTCGCCACAATTGTCGGCATTCAGCGTTGAGGATATCAAAACACCAAAACAAAATCCAGCTGTCGTACACGGGCTCTGTTATTCACCTGCAGCAACGCGAGCTAACTTCTGAACGGCCACCGTCACCAAGGTTCGGATCCAAGTGGTAATCCGCTCAGTTGGCTTGGATTTGCGATCAAGCTCCAAATAGGGTCAATGGCTTCCCGTCGTCAGATATCGTCAACCGCTCGTGGTCACGTTTTCCCATTCTCATCGCCAAATCTTCGGTCCGCGATACTGACGTTCAGCTAGCGCACAACATCTATCACGATGGTTCGTGATTTGTCTCAATGATGCCTCAGGGCCGGATCTCAGCTCCGTTCAACCACATGCAGCTAGGGTAGCATTAGGTTGTTTCCGAGCAACTCTGACCTCGTCGACACACGGTCCTCGAGGGAGCATCCGCTAGCCGCATCCTACATCGTAAAAGCAGCCTGTTTTAGTCAAAGCCCCCTATTCTCGCCCGCACATCGTTATGCCCAGTTTGGTCTTCCATCTCTCTGCAACGGCACCAGGAGTCTCTGTGGAACTAGAGCCATCCACAACTCTGAAAACGCCACCATCTCATACGATGTAGCAACCGATGGTAGTTTGGCGACCCAAAAGTAGTCGACCCTGACATTGAACTGATTCTCAAACACAGCAGCGGGGCCCCTTTCCTACCGCGCCATGACAAAGATAGTCCCATCTCGAGCCTCTAGAAGGATCTCGCGGCTCACCGTTTTGGTGATTCGCGTTTTTCACAGCTTTCTTTTAGGGGCTTTTAGGGGCAGAGGCTCGATGTTCTTAAATCGTCTCCTATCGCCGCATTTCTTGGCTCGATCTGGTTGACATTCACTCGCTCTTCTCCACACCACGCTCGTTCTTCTTGGCTCTTTGGGACTGTGCCCTGTTACTTGTCGACTAACAGCTCAACATGTCTATCCTCGAGCTCCTCGTGCTCGCTCTTGCCGGAACGGCTGTGGCCTCGCCTCCCCTAGGCATCCGGGCCGTCTCCCCAGACAACTCATGCGGAAAGACTGGAAATGGAGGTAGCTCCAAGGCGTACACCTGCCCTACCAACCTGCCATGCTGTTCGGTCAATGGCTGGTGCGGCTCTACTGATGCCTACTGCTTGCCTGCCAACGGTTGCCAGACCGGCTTTGGTACGTGTAAGGGAACGACGAGTAGCAGCAAAGCACCGGCGGCGGCGAGCAGCAGCAAAGCATCAGCGAGCGCCAGCAAGGCACCAGCCAGTAGCCCCAGCAGCACCGCCGTGGCAGTCAACGTCTCTCCGGACAATTCTTGCGGAAAAACTGGTAACGGTGGTAGCGCGGCGGGATACTCTTGCCCGACGGATCTGCCTTGCTGCTCCGTCAATGGCTGGTGCGGTTCGACTAACGACTATTGTCTGGCGACCAATGGCTGCCAGACCGGGTTCGGTACTTGCACAAACGACGGTAGCCCGCCGGCAAGCGGTGGTGATGGCGGAGATTCCGGGTCAGGGGTCTGCGGCCCTGACAACGGGAACGCCAAGTGCGCCGCGAACGAGTGCTGCTCTGCTGCAGGGTAAGTAAACAGTCCAATCTTGAACGGTATGCCTGTATCGCTAACATCATACCAGATTCTGTGGAACAACTGCTGGTAATGAACCCCCGTGCCATGTCGGTTTAGAGAAATAATCCCTAACATGAATGTAGAGCACTGCAAGGCTCCCGACTGCTTGTTCCAGTACGGCCCGGCATGCGATGCCAACAAGATTCCTCCTGGTCAAAACACCTCTAGCATCGCCCGCCCCAAGCTCGGCTCAGTCGAATACGGCGGTCCCGGCGTGTACAGCTGCGTCAAGCCCGGCGATGTTGCCCTGACTTACGACGACGGCCCGGCTGCGTACACAAACGACCTGTTGGATCTCCTGAAGAAGTACAACGCCTCGGCTACTTTCATGATCACCGGCAACAACAACGCAAAGGGTGAAATCGACAATACTACGTTCCCCTGGGCTAACACCATCAAGTATGACAACTCTGCTTTTCAGCAAGACTCTGAGGGTTCTTTGGCTAACGTCGAGCGACAGGCGGATGTACGCCGAAGGTCACCAGATTGCCAGCCACACCTGGTCTCACGCCGATCTGGTATGTTTTCTTGCCAATGGTCCGTCTTCTCGCCGATGGATTTGCTGACTTGAGAACCTAGTGCAACATCACGTCGGTGCAGCGCAAGGATGAGATGTACAAGCTGGAGATGGCTCTCCGTAACATCATCGGAGTCTTCCCTACTTACATGAGGTATGCCAGCAACCCTCCTCCCAATCACCTAACCCTGCGAGAGAATCCGCCTAACACTCATCTTTCCCCTCCCCAAAAGACCCCCTTACTCCTCCTGCACCGCCGCCTGCGGCTGCGAACGCGACATGAAGGCGCTCGGCTACTCCATCATCTACTTCGACCTCGACACCGCCGACTATCTGCACGACAGCGCCACGGAGATTCAGCAGTCCAAAGACATTGTCACCCAGGCCATCGCCGCCAAGCCTGCCGCCAGTGACAACTTCCTCGTCATTGGCCACGACATTCACTACCAGACCGTCTACAACCTCACCGAGTTCACGCTCCAAAAGTTCAAGGGCAAGAACATGGTCACCATTGGCGAGTGCCTCGGCGATCCCAAGGCCAACTGGTACCGCACGGATGCGCGCACCACGCTTGGTTAAGTCGTCCCCAGGTGTATCAACAGATTCCAACAGAGTACTATTTTTTACCCTCTTCAAAATAGCTGATCATGCATGTTCGAATCCGCCGAATAATTACCTTGTCTGAAAATCTGTATCAAATCGTAATATAGTGTATATTATCTAGTGTTACATAGTTCTTGTTGAATAATATCTTTATAAACACAAAACAGCTTCTGATTCTGACTCCATGTAAAACTTAAGACTATGCCCTCCCCTCCCCTCTTTGAAGACGTCGAATATGAACTTCAATCAACCTACTTTGACAGGCTCGACTAAGTCATCTCGCGGGTGTGGCACTGCGATATTATGAGCGTGTTGAGCCATCCGCCGAGAACGCATCCCGTATCCAAGAGTTCACTGGCGGCATATCAAACATAGATACGTGAACTCATGATGACTCCCATTATGTCGAACAGAAAAACGCAATGCAATGTATTCAGCCCTCCCTGAACCCGATTCTCCGAACTGATGTATGTACAGGTTTTTTCACGATGCCGTTGGCGATAAGCCAGCCCCCACCCCCGCCCCCGATGTATGGTATGTTTGCCTTCCCTCATTGCACATCATCAGAACACTCCAAACGGGAGCAACGATTAGACGACGACAAGACACCCTCACTTGTAGGCCAGCCATACCTTAACACACAAAATAAGTGAATTCCATGTCTTGCCAGCCCAGTGGAAGACAGAGTCAACGAACTCCAGCCAAACCGTCCGCTTTCGTGATATCCTTGTCCTCTGACTCCATGCGCCGTTCATGAGACAAGAGCAACGAAGTCCCAATGCGATGGAAAAATATAAACCCACAAAAACAAAGCAACACAAAACAGCTGCCCATATCTGACAGATGAGTCTGGACACAATCTAACCCAGAGAAAAAGAATAAGCCCAATCGCCTTCCCCGGCAAGCCCGTGAGGGCTGATGTTGAGAACCTGTGGTAGCGCGACAAGGATGACTACTGCACCTATAGAGGTGCGTGTCGCCGATGTATGCATTCGTAAAAGTGGCCGTAAACGCTGAAGATGATCCAACTATTCGGCACAAGATCGCTAATAGTTGGCCTCCTCCTCCTCCTCTTCCTCAGGATAGTGCTCGTCTTCCTTGTTAGAGATCTGGTCCAGGGAGAGATGAACATCAACAATGCCGAAGTGAGGAGCACTCTTCTTCGCCCATTGGCGGGTGAGGATGGAGGCTACACAAATGTCAGCGACGAAATAAGGCACGGGGCCAAGGAGGTACTTACCCTTGAGGAATTTCTTGCTCGCATACTTCTTGAAGAAGGCTTCATGGACGACCGGGCGGGCAAGGTAGTCCACCATGAGGCGAACGACAGGCTCAATCTCCTCTTCGTTGTAGCCGGCATAGAAGGCGATGGTGTCATCCTGTTGGATTGTCAGTCAACTAGCCCACTTTGCTATGATCCATTGGTACATACCCAGTCACCACGGTCCAGGATGAGGCGGGCCAGGTACATAGCGCCGGCCGCGACATGACTGGGACGGTAGGCCATGAAACGGTGATCGAGGAGGCTGATCTCCATTAGGTACTTGCCGATGGTACGGCACTGGATGTCGTAGTTGTCGGCCTTGCTAATGCGACGGAGGAAGTTCATGGGGTTGGGATAGCTCAGGTCGTAGTTCAGGGTTCCAAGAACGAATCGCTCCGCGCTAAGGATCTCAGCCTCGCTGAATCCATCATCGGCAACATGGCGGAAGTTGGCGACGTGAGGCGACAAAACTTCTTCGTACTTGGAGGCGATGAACATGGCGGTGATGCCGACAAGCTGCAGGCGGTCGAGCTGCACGACCTTCTCCGAGAGGAAGCGGTCAATGATGTTGATGGCCAGGAAGAGAGTCTCGGGTAGAAGGTGGAAGCGTGTGTGCACCTCAATTAACCAATCGACCAAAATTCCACGCGTCTTCCACTCCAAGTCATCTTGGTGCTCCATGTAGTTGGGGTTGGGAATGGAGTTACACTCCAAATCCTTGAGGTACTCAAAGATCTCATTGGCATACTCGGCCACCATCAACGGGTCGTCCAGATCCTCCTCGTCCAGGTTGGTGACATTCTCGGGGTAGCGGAAGGGCTTGTTGGCATTGACGGGCTCAGATTCGACTGGAGTCTGGCTCTTGACGTTCTCTTGGTCGGGCTTGGTTCGACGACTCTCCGTAGCGGGCTTCTTGCGCATAGGTTCGCTGTCGTCCAGAGAGATCTCCTTCTCCTCTTTGATGACCTTTGTTGTGACCTTTCTCTTCGAGATCGCGCCGGATCCTGAGCCGGGTGCCTTGTCCTTCTTCTCTCTGGGTGCAACAGATCTGGTGGTGGTGGTAGACTTCTTGGTGATTCCGGTGGGCTTCTCAGCCTTGGAGACGAGGCCAACCTTGCCAGCAGGCTTCTTGCCTGCGACAGCCTCTGGCTTGTTGACGTTGCTGACATCGCCGAGGGCAGCACGTTTGGTTCGTTGAGCTGCCGGAATCGCGTTGGTTGCAGACTTCTTCGTGGCGAGAGCCTTTCCTGGGACAGCGAGCTCGTCAACGCTCAGTGCGGCTGCCTTGGCACGCGTCATGCGCGTGGTTCCGCTGTTCTCATCGTTCTCGTTGGAAACGAGGCGTGTTGCACGCGCCGGACGGGTAACCTGAAGGTAAGGGTGAGTATGATATCGACGCGACGAGAGCATGCTGAACGTGTTGCAAGAACAAGCATTTACGAGGAGACTTACGGGCATCTTGTCAACTGATTATGTCAAGTTGAGTATCTGAGGTGTAGAATTCTATGAGGTCAAGGTTAGCATGGGGACGCGTCGAGATGCCGGTGCCACCTAAAAGATTGTGTTCCAAGCAGAGACAGTATAGGTTATAGCAACTTGAGTGCTCAGAGGAAGAGGAAGAGAAAGAGCGCGGCAATGGAACGAGGTGAGCAAGGTCGAGACATGCATACCTTGGGGAATGATAATGACGGGCGACTCGAACGCGGGCAAAACGCTTGCTCAGGCTCGACGCCAAACACTTGATGGGCGAGATCAGTCGCGTCCCGGGAGCCAATTGACAAAGATGCAAAGATGCTGAGACCAAGGAGAGGAGTGCAATACAGAGGTAGAGGTAGAGGTAGTAGGGAACTGGGCTTTGGGCAAAATTGAGGTTGTTTATGTGGGAGGAGGTGAAGGGACAATCAATGTGTGATGTGTTTTGCTAAGGTAGTGGGAACGGATGGACGTGATGTGGTATGCAGTGGGTACCGTATTGTGAATGGGACCAGAGCCGCCAGCTTTGGGGGGGTACGTACCGATTTTTTCAAGTCGCGGCTCGCGGTGGCCCTGGTTTGGTCACCACAGTAGCGTATCTGAAGCAGACAGGCGTGCAGTTGGTGCACACGCGAACGGCGGACAGGGAGTGGCTTCTTGACTCTCGCTAAAGGAAAAGTCGCGTCGGGGGTGTCTTTGTCGTGAACGATGGCTGAGGATGTAGTCGCGACTCAGTGAAATCTCATAAGAGAATTCGGTTTCTTTGTGTGCAACAGGTGAGGAATATAAGGTCCGTACAGCTGGGCTAGATAGATATATCCAGCTCTGGGCGTGTGTGGCGGTTGGAGGTAGTGAACCGAAGAAATTCACTGATGTGAGTGATTCAGATAGATGGCCTGGCGGTGCAGGCTGTGACGAGCAGTCTGGATGGAATACAGGTGAGAAGGTGGATGTGTGCGGTATGCGACAAGAAGGATGATGCCGTGGTGATGGTTTCGATTGTGGTAAAGTGAGGATGAGAATGAATAAGAAGCTCTCTCGAGGATAGAGGAGCAGCTTGAGCGGCGACAGTAGTGAGAATGTGTATCTGTTGTCGGTTGCCTGGGGCGAGATTGAAGATACCTCGAAAGGAGCAGCAGGAATATCAAAGTGCCTTGACCCGGAGATAATCGTAGGCTTATGAGGAAGTTCGAGAGTCGTGGTGGTAGCCAAGCGAGAGTGGAAGCAGTGTGAGGGTGGATACGCGATTGCCCCGGCTGCACGCGAAAGAAGGTCTGCTGGCTGATGGAGTGGACTGCAAAAAAAGACGTGGAAAATGGGGAGTTACCCCGGTCACAATAGCAATCAACAGCAGCAACCGCGGGGCAACCAGAACACCATTGGCTGCCTTCCCGACCACGTCCCGTCACGCTTCCAGAGGCGGCCTGGCTGGTCGTGTCGAGGCGTCTGAGGCTCAACTCGCTTGTTGAGCCACTCGAGTCCACTAAATGTGGCTGAAGCTTTCGTGCAAGCAGTACGTACCGCCAATGACCGGGCTTCCATTCCTGGACGTCAGTTCATCGGCGCCGGCAGAATAATTCTTTCCTAAAGCTCGAAATCTGCACTGGCCTCAAGCGTACCTTGGAGAGCCGCTTTAGCGATCACGACAACAGGGACCGTATTCCCACCCAACGAGTATCCCAACGGCAATTGGGGTCGGATTCGGATCGTTCTGAGCTCAATTGATCAATTGAGACCTATCTGAGGGTTGTCTTCGCCTTCCTGCAACCGCTGCACCCCGACCGAGCCAGTCCCTTTACGCGATATGCTGCGCCTGACCAGCTTCTCCTGAACATAATCAACCCACTCGAGAAGAGGGAACCTTCAATCCGACTCACAACCGCACATCGATGCCAACATGTCGCGCTCCATGATGCTCCTGTCGGCTCAGAGGAGCTGCGCAAGTCTCCTTGGTTCGACCGCCTTTCGTGGGCTTGCGATTCGACAATATGCCACTGCTACGAGGAAGAAGTCCGTCGAGAAGCCCGCCACGAAATCCAGCGAGCCTGCCGCAACTGCCCCCACCATCGAGAAAGCAAACAATGACTCCGTCATCATGCGCACCTACAAGCCGCGAACACCCGGTGTCCGTCATCTGAAGCGTCCGATCAACGATCACCTGTGGAAGGGCCGACCCTTCCTGCCTCTGACCTACCCCAAGAAGGGCCACGGCAAGGGAGGTCGTAACAACTCTGGAAGGATCACCGTCAGACATCACGGAGGTGGCGCGAAGAGGAGGATACGAACCGTTGACTTTGAGCGCTGGCAGGCTGGTCCGCATCTGGTCGATCGCATCGAGTACGATCCAGGTCGAAGTGCTCATATTGCGCTGCTATCGAACAAGTCCACTGGGCGCAAGAGCTACATCGTTGCTGCCGAGGGTATGCGTGCCGGCGACGTCGTCCACAGCTACCGTTCCGGTATCCCCAAGGACCTTCTCGACAGCATGGGTGGCGTCGTCGATCCCGGTATTTTGGCAGCCAAGACGGCCTGGAGAGGCAACTGCCTGCCCATGCACATGATTCCTGTTGGCACTGTCATCTTCAACGTCGGCTCGAGAGCCAAGGGCGGTGCTGTATTCTGTCGCAGTGCTGGTACCTACGCAATCTTGGTTTCCAAGGAGGAAGAGACCAGAGACGACGGTACCAAGGTAGTCACGGGCAAGTACATCAACGTTCGTCTTCAGAGCGGCGAGATTCGCAGAGTCAGCAAAGACGCTTGCGCAACGATCGGAGTCGCTAGCAACCCCCATCACCAATACAGACAATTGGGCAAGGCTGGACGAAGCAGATGGCTCAACATTCGCCCCACGGTTCGTGGTCTTGCCATGAATTCCGGTACGTGTACCCAACCTTGACTATACGTATCGGAATCGCTAACAATCGTGTGACAGTCGACCACCCTCACGGTGGTGGTCGTGGTAAGTCCAAGGGTAACCGCCACCCTACCAGTCCTTGGGGCACTCCCGTAAGTTCTCCCTATTGTCCTTCCTGCTCTCGCAGTTACTGATACACATATCCTGCAGGCCAAGGGCGGCTTTAAGACCCGTCGCAAGCACAACTTCAACAAGTGGGTTGTCGAGCCCAGAGTACGCAACATGGGCAAGAGAAGAAGCAAGGCCTCATGAGTCGTGCTAGTCCATCGCCGAGATCCTATCGTAGACGGACACGAACAGACATTTACCGAGCTTGAAACGAAGCTCGATGCCCCTGTTGTAAATGTATGTCATAGTATTTGTATCATAGAGCTATTCATGTTGAGTTGCCGATCTCCGGCGCATTCTCCCAAGATACCGCAGCTGCAATTTTTTTATTTTTTATTTTGGATCATGCGCCTTATCCAAGTCTTCCGGTCAAAACCATCTACTATCCCGTCCAGCAGTAGCGGCGCCCTCTATTGGACTAGCCATGCTATCAAGCCAAGCTCGTAGACACTCACCCATCTCCCTCGGTCCTGTTGTGTCCAGCAGCGGTCGTCTCCGTGCGCTGCTCGGGATCTGGACCCGCCCCGGTTCCGTCACCAGCGGCTTCAGCTCCACGGCTCCGCTCCTCCCTCCAGGCCGTCACTCCGCCGCCGAATTTCTCCTTGTACGTCTTCTTCGCCCTTTTCAGCTCTTCTTTCGCAGCCTTCTGAGCCTTCTGGAAATCCTTTTTCTCTTTCTCCGCGTCTCGCCTTACCTTATTGCGTTCGGCCGTCATGGATAGAAGGCGGTTCCACGATGGGGATGATGCGAGGCTGTTGCCGCCCACCATGATCCACCACATCTTTGGAACGTGGTCATTCCCCGTGGGTGTATTCTGGGACATTTCTTCTTTTTCTTCCCTAGCAAAAGGGCTTTTTGTGTCGTCTGGTTTGCTTGTCTAGGTGTCTTTGGCTTTGAATAGCTCAGCAGCTCACGATCTTTTGACAAGCGTCAAAGTATATCGAAGTAGCCTGTTTCGAATTGATGTTAGGACGAGCGGCCCGTTTTGATTGTGTACCCGCAGTTGTTGCCGACTTGCGCTAGTTGCTACGTTGAGGCGATGGGAACTGTCGCCTTGGCTTTTCTTTGTTTGATCAAAGTAAGTAAATCACTCGCTCGTCTTCTTTGAGAAGCTGCAAGGCACTGCTAGCAGGTGTAATGCTAGGTTGGTGAGCTGGTAAAGGAGTGGCACAAAGGATCTTCTTATGATGACAGACTTATTGTGCTTCGTCTTTCCCAACGGTGAATCAGACGGTGTCACTAGCAGTAGACGTAGTGTCAAGAGCATCCATTTGGACAATGTCAACATCACTCACACATTCACCACTGAGGCTTTTACAATGCCACTGTGCTTGCTTATCATTTGTCTTGGTTTAAAGATATGGAAAAAAAGACGTTTGACATGTTGCGTTGCTTTTAAAGCCGCTTCTCTATCGTGATCGCACCACGGCGATATCTCAACAGTGGTAACCTAGCCTCCAGCAAGTAAAAGAAACCATGAGTGTCTCCTGGGACGCCTGTTCTAGGCTTGTCCACCAGGATTCAAACTCCTAAACGCCGCTTATTGTGTTCCCAAGCTTTTCCATTGGGAACATATCCCAGTCTAAGCTGATTCAGACCCAAGAGCTCCGAGGCTCATAAACATAATGGCATGTCGAGAGACCGTCGTCTCCGCCGTTCGTAAAAACATGTGATCAAAGCATATTGTTGGCGCCTATAGTGATCCAATGCGCTCCTCGACGCTGCCGAAGTAGAGAACAGGGCGTGGCTCGAGGATGCTGAGCTCGCTTCCGAAGCTCTTGCGCTCTTCCTCGAGGTCAAGCATTGAGGGCTGGCGGAAGACGATGCTGTTGATTGTGCTTACGGGAGACGACGCCGTGGTAGCAAAGGAGCCTCGGTCGCTGCTGGCACGGGAGGATGCTGATGACGAGCGGCGGAAGGTGGTTCTGAGTGTGCTCGGAGAGAAGCGGGAGGTGATGGACTGGAAGCGGGAAGACTGCATTTTGAACGAGAATGAGATGTTTCCGACACTTTGGTACGTCTAAAGCTCTGGTGGATGTGGATGGTATCGAGATAGTGGGAAGTGACGGTGGGCAAGTTCGATGACAACACCTGGCGATGTGGATGTAAATATTGGATATTGGAGGCTCAGCCTGAAGTGTGTATGAACGAGTGAATGGCGAGAATTGAAAAGGTTGGACCGGTGAGAAGACTGATTGCAAAAAGGGTTGTGGACAGCGGGAACGGGATGGGATTATATCAAGTGTCAGAGGACATGGACACTCGGGAGGGAGAATAACGTGAGGCTAATAGTAGGCTAGTAGCAGAGTAGGTATGCTAGATTCGGCAGCAGTAGCAGTCCGGCTGAGACGAGCGAATTGCCCCTGGCAGGGAATCAATCGCAGACGAAGCGAAGTGGCAGAGAGAGAACAAGGGGCCGCGGGAGGTGGAAAGGATGGGCAGGGAAGGGAACTGGGAGGTGGACAGGGGAGTGAGGATATGCGGAGGATTAAGAAGTGTGAGAAGGGTTCAAATACCAAGGATGCGTACATAGTTGGTATGGAGAAACGGGCTTGAGGTTCAGGGGTGTGACGCAGACGGCATCAATGCGAGGTGTGGCATCAGGACGCTGCCTCTTTTGGCAACGAGCAATGCGGTGGGAACTTGGGAAGACGAGATGCATGGATGCCACCGGTGCTAGATGGTCGAAGACATGTTGTTCAGACGACGGACGCAGATATGCCTATTCTGTCTGCACGGCAGCATGTAGGGATGTACGAAGGCAACGGCATGCTTTGAGAGTTGGCTTGGGTAACTTGACCAGCTCTGAGATTCGGTCTATGAGACGGGAGCGATGGGCCGGTCCAAGTTGGACGCTGAGGCCGAACCTGGCGTTGAGCCCGTCCATTCCTTGGCGGATGAACTTTGGTCGAGGCATTCGGTAGTTAACTGTCTACCCACTACATCCTATTGTGATAGGTACTGAGGCAGCGTGTCTGTCTAACATGAAAGACCTGTCTACGGATTTCTATCAATGGAAGACTGAGGGGCCGGTGGGAGACCGAGAGACCACATGAGATATGAGATGGTGTGCCGCATATGCGATACCTGCGCACCACTTTACCAGCGAGAGACGCGTTCAGTATCTGGAGATGCTGGCTTACATACCTAATAAACAGAGTCAGTTACGGATCCAGAGCAAGAACCATCGGTTTATGGAAGCAGCACGCGAGGGCAAGAGGCAATAAGTGCTCTGTAACGTGCAAGAGATGCCCCAGTAGCCGGTGCAAGGCAGTCTGAGGTATGTAGCAGCCTCCTGCTCCATTAGTCCCAACTGGCTGCATTGTGTGATCGTCGTCGGGGGGAGGGGGGGGGGGCCGGCCAGGAGCAAGGGATGAGTTTCCCCTGGGGTGCCTTGAGTTACTCGTACCTCTTCAGGTACCGATCCTGCGGTACAGGTATGGGAAGAGTACAGGCGGGTACGGAACGGCCTCCTCGGACTGGCTTGTCTTGGCTTCCGACCGACTTTAGAGGTACCCGTAGTGCCAAAAGAAAGAAAAAAAACTATGTTAACGCACAGGCGGCGAGCGTCCATCCCTCAATGTACCTCCCCGCGCATCATTGCTTCGATTCTACTGACACAAGGGCCAAGATAATACATCGGATCAATGACTTTGGAGAGCAAAGTATGATAAGATACGTCTGCGCGAAGAGTGGTGCTCGATAAGGTGTCAGGGGGCCACCGCTACAGGCGACAATCAGAGTGACAGCCAGACAGCCTAGCGGTGCAGACAAAGAACGCACGGCTGTTTCAAGGGCGCCCGCCAACGAAATTGCCGATGTCATGCGTGCTTCATGGCTGACGCTGATGCTGACGCCGACCCTGACGACAGTTCTGGGACTTACAAGTTGGTGAGTGGCCACGATTACGTACAAACACCTCACTCTCCTCAGCCTCAGCGTGTGTCTCCATCCGGATAATCCGCTGCTACTTATGTGGAAGCCTTCAACAATATCATCTTTCCCAAAATAAGAAGCGAGCATCACCCAAAGCCTCAGCCTCAAGCCTGGGAGGGCGAAGGGCAAGCTATGGGCAGGCATGTGCGCTATGTGGTGGATGGTTGCCGCTGGACGGTTGACCGCAATCGCATAACGTGCTCATCGCCATAGCGCAGCGTTCGTGCCACTCGTTCGCACCAGCGTTTGCCCTTGACGAGGATGGCCATTGCCAACGCGGCGGAAAGCCCGTGATGTGGGTGTCGAAGCCTTCTGGAAGAACTCTCTGAGCCACCGTGGCAATGCTCTGCCAGGAATATTCTTGGGCCTGCCCGGAGACTTACTCATATAAGCCCAAGATATTATATGCTAAAAAGAGCATATCAATCTAGGAGAGACCGTGGCAGTCTATCTATGTTATCCTCCCATTGCGATGTAAATGACAACGGTGAAGTATAAAAAAAAAAAAAATGTACTGCCGATACCCGCAGTGGGTGTCGAGTTGAAGCTGGACACAGAAAACAAGTTCCACCAGGGCAATGTGCGGCGGACACGTAACATCGAAGAGATGATATTCCTGTCACCTCTTCATCCCAAACCCCGTGTTGTTGTTCTGAATACTAAACAGGAAGCTCGTCCGTTCCTTTGAAGTTATACTCGAATCATAAACGCCATCACACGCACAAAACTCTCCAAATCAAGGGTCTTCACTCTCTTGGTCGCTTTGCTGTCGCATCCCCCAACTGATCTTCCGGTAAAACAGAGGTCCAAGTGTCCTCTCTTTCAGTGGGCGTGTGTCGATCTCGTTGTTGAAAGCTAGGAAAGGGGAGAAATAACGTGATGAGACATGGGCTTACTGAATCTGGAAACAAGGCCACCCCTGGGTACCCCCCCACCTCACTATACCCCTGTCCTGCCCATGGCCTATCGTTGCAAATCGTGCCCAGGTCTGTGTAGACGAGTGTCGAGCGAGACTCTGGGTGATACTACAAGCAGTGAAAGCATGCAAAATAAAAACATTATCTCTCAATCTTGCCGATGACCCCCGATTCCCCGTCAGAAGGTAGACCGCCAGTTGTGCGCCCAAGAAGGACAAAGTAGGAGAGGAGGGGCATATTGAAACATTCGCGAAAATGAAACGAGTAAGTGCCAAGCGACGACGAGACACGGGCAACACGAGACCAGACCAGACCAGGGCCTACACCGGACGAGACGAGACATGAAGGCCACGAAATACGAGACTCAGACCCGTCGTTAGACTAGGACTTTATCAATTCCCCGAGGCCTACCCCCGGAACCATGTTCGACCCCGATGGATGACGGTCGATGAAGCTTCTTTTCTACTTCGTCCCGTCTGATCTTTCTACTGCCGGCCTCTAGGGCAAGGTCTAAGACAAAAGATTACTGAAGTTAGGGCCAGGCATCGAAGCCAAGATGCATTTCCCAATGTCATAAGCGGTGTTGTCGGCGCTGTTGCAACTTGATCTATCCGTCATCCCGCCAAGAGCCCAAATTTGTTCACTGTCAATGACCCGTGATTTTATATTGATATACACAAAAAAGACTGGCTTGTCAGCCAGCTTTCTTGTTCAAGCATGCATTCCTACTAGTGAGCGCACTCGTTTGTTCAATAATTATTGGGGCAGGGTGCATAGGCTTCGACAATAGAAGAGTTCCTAGAGTCCTTCTATAAGGCGCTGTAGGAAAGTCATTGCTTCACCCCTCGGATTCTTCGTTCGTGGAAAGAAGGTGAGCAAGGTTTCAAACTTCCATAAAGGGAAATCCAGAGTACTCTGATGCTCGGTTCATGCACAAGAAGTTTAACCTCTCTTTGACGCCTGCCAAGCAAACGCTGTTGGTTTGTTGTCTGAACCCAAGACGAGAAGAATCGCGAGAAAGCGTACGAACGGAATTAAAGCTTTCAACGCAAAGGAGAAGCTCTCGATTTGCGAGGGTATTCTGCTACATTGGCAAAATATGACACGATTTTATATGCTTGACCTTTGCAGTCACGACATGCCGGCTCAGTCACTGCCTTCTCTAGGAATGAATTGCCCTTTGCAATGAGCTTTGCAATCATCGTCTTCAGATGAACGAGAAACTGGTCTCTTCATTCTAAGCATCTATGTCTGGTCGTAACGTCTAAGCGGAGCATGAATCAATCTGGCTCGAGTGCAGTCAACTATGACTGTGTATCAGTATCAGAGACACGCACAAGATTAATATCGGCCGTTCTTGCCAAGAAGACTCGAGACTGATTGTGGGATTTGTGTATGACACTAAGACAGCGAGATTGACAGCACGGGTGCCGACGTTTTTTTTCACACACATTATGTGTTGATAATGTCCTCCACATTAGAACACTACCCTACGTGTAGTCTACGAAGCCCCTGCCTTGATGATAGCTGTCATCATGCCGCATGTATCAATCAAAGCCGTGAGCAAGTTGCTTTGTCTATCTTTCTATCAAGCATGGAAAACAAAAGGTTCATGATGCTCATGCCTCTCGTGGTTTAGAAATGATCTAGGAGCTACGCCCAGAATCGATGACACGTCTTCGTCTTAAACCTGAACGCCGTCGCTGAAGCAACAAAATCCACTACGCACCACCTTCTGGTGCAGCTATCTGCTCCAATCGGATTTTCGGACCGATTTCCGTACTGTTGCAGTTCTCCGAATACTCTCAAGCCAAATAGAGTCGTCCAGCATGTTGCTAACTTGTGCGGGGCTGACGGGGCTTTGTGGAGTGACAGCACTTCCCCTTCTACTGCTCTGAGCTGAGGTCTGACCCCCTTCTTGCAATTCAAAGCTGAAAGCAGAATGCGTCGATTGGTGACTCGGCGTTGTAGGCCCAGATCTCGGGAAGCTAAGCGGGTGTTGGTAGTCGCCGTCAGACGTATCTGTCGGTGCCGGTCCAGACCAGCTATTGTGTGCCGATTTGTGAGCGTCTTCCACTGTCAGCAATGCTGACCTCGTTTGCCCTGTCCCTGCCACTGGCGAGGACTT